TTAGGACGGGGTGTGGTGGCTTTTGGTTTGGGTTTTTTGGTTTTTTTGTTGTGTGTGGGGGGGGGGGGGGGGGGGGGGGGGGGTGTCTGCTGTCTGTTTAGCACGTCCCACTGACAGCTACAGTGTTTGAAGCAGAGGCCAAACACTGACTGAATGTACACGTATGAGAAGTAAAGAGGGAACAGACAATATATTTTATGATAAATGTTGTTTATTCTGTTTAGTGAAAACTAATAAATAGCAACAAATTAAAGAAATTCTACCCACATATATATTAGTGTATATCTTTTACAATTTTGTTACATGTCAGTTTTGCACTGAAAACCAGCCAGTTTGTTACATTGTTGATTCTGCTGTGAAGGTTAGAGGGTCAGGTTGGTCCCGGGTCTTCCAGCACTGCTCACTGTTTACGTAACGTTCATCTGAAACCTGACAAAAGAAAATATCTTAACTTTCTGGACAACCAAGACAGGGTGTAAAACTAAAACAAAATACAGAAAAGCAGTCTTTCTTGGTACAACAGAGATACTTGTCATTATTTGAAGGTAGTACATGATCAGAATATAAACCCACCTGATATGAATGCTGCACAGAGGACATCTGCTGCGTGCTCACAGCGTCACATCTCTCTTGTGAGCTTGTTGGTTCATCCAGGAACTGCTTCATGGTTTGGGCTTGCTCCATTGAGGATCTCCTCTGCTGCACCACCTCCTCACTGAGGCCCAGCTGCTCAGACAGGTAGGAGATGTATCGAATGGTGAAGCGCAGCGTCTCGATCTTGGTTAGGGTCTGTCCCGGTGGTGCCACAGAAGGTGGGAGGTACGTCCTGAGGTGATTCAGAGCTCTGGTCAGATCCCTCATCCTCAGCTTCTCCCTCTCACTAGCAGTCTGGCGCTTCTTGCCCGGATACCTGGACCTGGACTTCTTCATGGGAGCGATGGTTGCAGAGGTGGACCTGGGACAGATCTGATGGGGAGAATGAGGCTCCACTGTGGTGCCGACGAAGAAGCTGTTCAGAGCGTCTGGTTCATTTCCCAAAGCTTGGAGGGAGATGGGAGAGAAGCAGAAGGAGTCCACAGAGGAGGTGGGAGACAGGCTGCTGCTGGCGCTGATGTAACCAAGGTCTGAGGGTGGGTTCTGAACCAGAGGTTTTTCCAGCAGAGACTCACAGTCAAACAGCAAAGGGCTGTCCTGGGGGTGCACGGAAGAGTAGGACATCTCCATCAGTCTGCAGCTGCAGTTGGTGCTGATCTCAGAAAGACTGGCTGTCGGTGTGTTGCTGGAAAAGCATGAACAGGATAATGAGAAGGCGCAAAGAGGCTGCTTCTTATATGTGGTGGGAGGTGCGAGGTATCACCTGTGGTCTTGAGACGCTGCGGGAGCAGGAATGACACCTAAGCCAGGGGGTCCCATGGGAAACTGGCATGCTTCAGGACAAAGTGTGACCTGGCAGCTTGTGTGAGCATCATAAACTACAGATCCACTCTATGAGGGTTTGCAGTTGAACAGGACCCTGGACCTGGACCACCCGCCTGCATCAAAACCGACTCCTATTAGGACTTCAGTGAGTCACAGCATCACCCAAACGAACTGTTATCTAAAAATCTGTTTTAATTCCCTAAAAAATGACCTGAGCTTTGAGCAGATGTCTGACTGACTGACCAAACACTGCTCCCCATCTTGCTTCCTGTCACAGGATTGCTCACAAGGCCAGAAGTGTGCCGGGCCAGCTGGGAAGTGTGAAAAATTGACACCTCTGCGTGGACAGCAGAAGGCCTCATGTGTTAGAGACCAGACTGATATAAAAATGTGAAATTTTACCTGAAATAACCCTTTAAAACCCAAACATAAACAACAAAAATCAACCATTTTGTGTTAACATTCTAAATAGACTGTACTTATATAGCACCTTTCTATCTTGTCAAGACACAAGGCGATTTACAACACAATCTGTGTCCTCATTTACCCATTCATACAGCACTCTACTAGATCTCTACAAAGCTAATTGAGCAAACAACAAAGTCCATGCTCAATAATCCAGGTATACAATCCAACGTTTTTCAGTCAGGTAATTGAGCAAACCATTCTAAAGAGACTAATCCTTAGATTAAAAACATTCTAAAAATATATATATTACAGTTCATGGTGGTATATTTCTATAAAACTTGGATCGGCAACACAAGAACCAGCTTATCAAATGTTTCCCTACACCTCCAACATTCCCAGTGACATGTATTAGTTATTCACATGATGCTGTGGATGTCCTTTGATGAGCTATGTTTACATCTGGATCGTGGAGCTGAGTCTCGAGCAGCGTTCCCACAAAGCACAGCGTCAGATTTGCCTCCTGCTCCTCTGCAGAGGTGAAACCTACAGGCGGGGGGTGTGAACTAATCTGACACAAGTTTGCACCGCCACGCTAATGCAAGAAAAACAGACATTTGTATTCAGAAAATCATCCAGACTAACAGGATTTCTCTGAAAGATTGTATACTATGTAATGAATCAAAGGCTGATTCCTGTCTTTAAATACATGCTCTCAGAAACATTTAGGACTTTGAATGACACCAGCTTAAGAAATGACTCAAATACCAAGTCCAACAGTAACCTTTGATCTTTCCAGAAACGTTTTAACCGGGTCTGTTGTCTACAAATGTTTCAGCTCTTATTTTTTCCGTTTGAACTTAAGTCAAAATCCAGCTGTCATCTTTCTTCTGTTATTTTCAGGTAGAGGATTTCTCCTCTGCTGAGCCTCATGGTCCCTCACCATGTTTACTTACAAGTAATGAGAATAATCAGCACTACGCTGCTGTCCCTTTCATCTTCAACCCCTCAGAGCCGAGAGAGTTTATTAGCTTTACTGTGATGACAGACTTAAGTGAGCATTTTAGCTGCTTGCATATCAAATAAACTGCACGTGTGTGTCAGACTAAACACTGGGGCCTAATTCTCTGACCTGATATGCAGAGCCACACTCCTTAATAAATATTAAAGCTCTCTTTGGGCAGGTAATCAGGGCAGAAGGTGGGAGAAAGGGGCAAAGAACAGGGAGGGACGGCAGTCTAGACTGAGTGGTGCCAAGGATCTATCTGTGTTTGCAGTGCTCCATTTACAAAAAAACACTAAATAAACTTGATAAACTGTGGCAGGGACTGGCATCTGATCTAAAACCCTTAGAATCAGAGTATAAGTACAAAATTACACTGCTGTACTTGGAAAAAGAAGCTGGCACACTTTGGCTGTTGTAAATGGAAACAGAAAACGGTAGCACTTTACAATAAGGTACACAAAATTAACTAGTAGGGAACACCTCAGGAAGGAAGCAGGAGCTAATGAGTAGTTAACCAGTACTTACTGGAGAACACACAGCCAAGCCTTATTAAGGGACTACTGGTTTGTTACCACAGAAGCAGAGGAGAAATTCTCCATGCGGGTTCTGAATAAACCCTGCACCAGTGAGGTCACAGCTGGTAATTGACCTGTTTAGTGATTTTATTAGATTCTTACCACTAATTAGCAATTTCATAATTGTACTGCTGTCATTTTAGCTGAGATGTGACCTCACCTGTGCAGGTTTCCTTGAGTCAGAGTCAGAGTTTCTTTACTTGTCATTTGTACCACATGTGATACATGTGGTGGAGCAAAATTTTGTACACAGGGTCCCAGTTACATCCAACAATAAAATGGAAAAGAAAAACAGTAATTAGATCTAAGATATGAACTAAGAAAAACGTTAACTAAAACACACACTAAGCACTAATAGCATAAAAACAATATGCCTAACAGCAGCACTAACATGAGTCTGTGTGAGCAGAGGAGCACGAATGAACACAGCAACATGAAACAGATCAGCAGCAACATGAAAAAGATCAGCAGCAACATGATGTGATTTTTCATACTGATTATTCTGGTTAGAGATTCATGAGTCTAACAGCCTCAGGGTAGAAGCTGTTCCTCAATAAAGTGGTTTTACACTTAATGCTCCTCAACCTCCTTCCTGAGGGGAGCAGGGCAAAAAGTGTGTGTGCTGGGTGAGTGTGGTCCTTCATGATGTAGGTGGCCCTCTTCCTGCATCTGGAGGTGTAGATGTCTGTGATGGTGGGGAGACTGACTCCAACAGATTTCTGTGCAGCCTTCACCACTCTCTGCAAAGCTTTTCTTTCTGCAGCTGTGCAGCCTCCATGCCACACATTGATGCTCGAGCACAGGATGCTCTCCACTGCACACCTGTAGAAGGAGGTGAGGACTGAGCTTTCCAGACCAGCTCGCCTCAGCCGTCTGAGGAAGTAGAGTCTCTGATGAGCTTTCTTGATCAGGCTGGTGGTGTTATTGCTCCAGCTGAGGATGTCATTCAGGTGTACACCCAAGTACTTGTAGTTGGAGACCACTTCCACCGCAGATCCTCTTATATTCGGGGGGTGGGGTGGGGTGCGGGTGGGGGGGTGGGGGTGAAGTAGGTGTGTTTGTGTCTGCCTTTTTTTCTCTTTTTTTTTCCCCCTTTTTTCTCTTTTTTTTCTTTTTTACCCAGTAGTTCTTGATTAGTTCCTCTTCATTTACAAGGTAACTAACCATTAGTTCCCTAATAAGGTTTTGCTGTGTGCTCCCCAGTAAGTACTGGTTAACTACCCATTAGCTCCTGATTCATTTCTCTTTGGTTTCCATGGTAACTATACCCATTAGTGTCTGTTTAGTTTCTCTTATAGTTTCCCAGATAACTAACCAGTAGTCCCCTCATAAGGCTCGGCTGTGTGTTCCCTAGTAAGTACTGATTAACTACCCATTAGCTCCTCCTGATTCATTCCTGAGGCGTTCCCTAGTAACTAATCAAATTTTGCGTACCTTATTGTAAAGTGTTACCGAGAAAACATTGATGTGCAAGTCAGGTTAAAATTGTTTGATAGAAACGCGGATATACCCTGAGCCAGTTAAAAAAATAATAATTAGTAATTAGTGCCCTAATTTATATTTCATGACAGAAACACATACAGAAAAAAGGAAAACAAAGCAGCAAGAAACGAGAGAAGTTGTCTTTTTTTGTTTGTTTTGTGGATGAGTTCATCTTGCCTGAAAAAGATTAGTGACTAAATGTAATTTAGGAACAGTTAAACAAGATGAAAATGAAAATAATTTACCAAATAGGAACTTCAGAAATGCTGAAATCCATGTGTGGAAAGAGTGAAGCAATACTGATGATGATGATGATGATGATGATGATAATTTTTTTTATTTCAGACAGACATTTCACCAACAAAACATAATAATAAAGAACAAAAAAGGTTGAATCATGTCATCTGGACTTCGTTTTCTTGTTAAAAAGAAACGTTTCGCCCCTCATCCAAGAGGCTTCGTCAGTCTGAGGCCTAGCCATCTGGTATTACCCAGAAGCCACCCTGACTCTTGTGTTTCAAGCCTGCCTCAGATACCCCTGAGGTCTGGCCTTTTCACTAATGGTTTCAAAAACACAAAGTTTGTTTTCTCAGTCATCCAGGTATATAACAACAAAA